CAAGGGAAGTGGTGCTGGCCCCTACCCTGGGGGTCTTTAAGAAGAGGCTGGATGCCTACCTGGCTGGACTCATTTGAGTCCCGTTTCTTGTTTTGGGGTTTTGTTGTTCTCCCGCCCTGGCGGGGGGTCGGGCTAGAAGATCTACTAGGTCCCTTCCGACCCTAAATCTATGAAACTATGAACTATGGATATAAAAATAGTTGCTGGCAGAGTCTGAAGATGACACAAAAATTGGTAGGACAGTAAAAAGTGTGTAGGGCAGGTTACTGCTCTGTGGAATTCAAATCTCCCAGTTAAATGGCTGCAATCCAACAACATGGGTTTTATCACAGTTGCCTGCAAGAAAATATGTCTTGAAACAGCAAAAGCAGGCGATGGCCACTTTTGGAAGCCCCTGTCTGGTTAAACACGGAGGCAGAGATGCATGCAGATTTTTTCATCAATAAAGACCAGCGTGCACCCTAAGTGCTTGTGATGGCAAAAAGGAATAGCCATCCTTGGATGTAACAAAAGAGAGGTATCAAGTGAAACTAGATGAGCTACTTTACCTCTGTAGACAGAAGTGGTAAGACCCCTAACACAATACCACATCCAGATCTGGTATCCACACTTCAAGAGGACGTGGAAATATGTGGGGGAGAATTCAAGCAGAACAGAAAACTGATTCAGGCCTGAGAAACCAGCCCAATAATTCAAGGAAGAAGGAGCTTGGTTGATTCAGCTTGTTGAAGACAAAGCTGGAGGGGACTGCTGTGTACGGGAACGTTCATGTGGAGAAGATACGGCAGTAAGACTGGAGACAGTACAGAGAATCGTCTCCAAAGCTTGCCTTAAGCATAGTTGCAAAATGCACCGTGTCAAACTGCTTGACATCAGTTGGGAAGGAAGTTTCCTAAGGTTAGAGAGGCAAAAAACACCCCTGAGGTCTCAGGCCTTGTCTGAAAGCACAATCACAGATTGCCTGCTAGGATCCTCTCAGTGCATGACACGTGTGACTCCAGGATCTCCACCACTTGCGGGACCTTGGTCTCTCTGGCTGTGGCACTCAGCAGGTTAGACCCCTGAGGAACAGCACGCTTTTGTTTAACTGAAGTCATTCAGTTCAATGGGGTGAAATGCCACGGCCTGTGTTAGATAAGAAGTTGTCTTCATGATCTACTAGTTCACCCCAGCCTTAAACTCTAAGCAGGGTATCTACCCGTGGTCCAGATTGCTTCCCCATTTTTGCTGGCTCAGCTACGTTGACTCCACTCATTCACTCCACAACATCAAGAATTCATCCAGTCCCAATCCCTCTCTCTGGCAGGGAGAGCAGCATCCTCTCAGAGCCAGCTTGGTCTCGTGGGCTGAGATCCAGCAAAAGGGCAAACGAAGCAGGTTGCTCTCTTGACTCTACTCATTGATGCATTTGAGGAAAACTGCATCTCCACTGTGCTAGGGATGCACGCAGAGATGTGCCAGGAGTCTGAGATCTTCACAGGAGCCTAAGGGAGTTACATCGCATATCGACTTTAGAGGCATTTGACGAAGTAAGACTTCTGGCTTAGCTTTCCCATTTTATTACATCCAATTGTGTCCCTGAGCCAGAATGATTAAATAACCAAGGGCAGTGACAGTAGAGCACACTAGAAACACTGACCATTTGTAAGCTACACAGCATTTAATGTAGAGAAATACAATTAGCTGCCCACAAGGGATATAATTGTGTGCTACACCGTCTGATGTGGCAGGACGTTAACGGTTGATGAAGGCTTTCCCAGAGACTGAGGCCCTAGTGCTGTAAGTACAGCCTCTGCAGTTATTTGTTTCATACCTTGCAGACATAAAGAAAGGAAACTGAAGAGAACTCAATGGGCAATTCAATGTCAAAATGTTACAGTCACGTTACAGCTAGAAATTGGCATTTCATATTCACAGATTAAAAGTATAATAGTGTCAACCGTCCAATGTGCACTTGTGACTCACAATTTATTACCGGCTGGGAATCCATTTGCAAATGTGCAATGTTTTATATTATGTATTAATCCTGTGAAACACTCTGTATTGCATATTGGAGGTTAATCGCAGCTTTGGTCTTGGTACAGCCTCTTACAGAAATGCTTGTAGCGTGTGGGCGGGTTCTTTCAATTATACAGTGCTTTTCTTTATTTTTAGCACTATAGAAATGGAATAATTTGGCTGGAGTTAAGTCCAAACATATTGTAAAGTTAATGAATTTCGTAGCAGATCTTTTTCAGACGTTGTGTTCAGAAAAAGCCACTGAGCGCAAAATTAATTGGGCAGACTTACAAAATATCCAACTCAGACATTTAGAAGTCAATGAGAGAGGTGGTGTGGAGAAAGGCTTATTGCTTTTATCTCCCAGTATGTCACAGCCCTGAAGCTGGCTACAGTGATGCTTTATATTGAGAATTAAAGGAGTGATTTGAAGCCAATTTGGAGCAAGGCAAGGAGGACGACTATTACCAGAGATACAGAGCTAAACTGGGATATTTTCCTTACAATGGCAACTGCAAGAACCTTCCTACTTCCCTGTGTTTATAGAGGACTGCTCATGCTGACATTACACACCATACTTTTGCATTCATTAGACCTTGGAATAAATTAGGCAGTATTAATTGTATTAATCTAGTGTGTTATCTTTATTTTCAAAGAGTTTTAGCCTTTCGGTTCATCAAAAGGGTGGGTTGCATGAGTGACTGTACACATTGTGGTTCTACATTTAATTTTTCTATCAGCTGGGCTAGGAAGAGATGTTACATTTCTCCCTAGACAAGTTGTACAACCCCCAGGTTTTTCTTCTTTTTGTTATTTACTTAAAAATATGACATCCCATTTCCTCATCATTTCTTCCTTTTTCTCTCCCCTCCTCTATTCCCTCTGTGTGTGTGTGTGTGTGTATGTATATGTATATATATATGTATATATATGTGTGTTTGTATATATATGTGTGTGTGTGTATATATATATATATATATATATATATATATATATACACACACATAGTTATAAGTTA